TCGACGCCGACGTCGCCGCTGAAGCTGAAGCTAACGGCAACGGCAACGCCAACGTTAACTGCACAATTTGGTTTTTGTTGACATTGACAGTTAGTTACCCTTACAATTATTGACTGTTATTACATTACACCTTGCAGAAAACATTCCCCAGCTCCATGCGGCAAATGTCGCGCGTCCAGTGGCTGACACTGGACCACACACACCTACAGCAAGTACCCGAGGAGCTGGGCCACTTACAGAAACTCGAGCACCTCTCACTCAACCACAATAAGCTGGAGAAGCTCTTCGGCGAGCTGACGGAGCTGCCATGCCTGCGGTCGCTAGATCTGCGCCACAATCAGCTAAAGAACAGCGGCATACCGCCGGAGCTGTTCCAATTGGAGGAGCTGACCACATTGGATCTATCGCACAATCGCCTCAAGGAGGTGCCCGAGGGCCTGGAGCGCGCCAAGAGTTTGATTGTGCTCAACCTGAGCGCCAATCAAATCGAGAGCATACCCCCAGCGCTGTTCATCCACTTGACGGATTTGCTCTTCCTCGACCTATCGCACAATCGCCTGGAGACGCTGCCGCCGCAGACGCGCCGGCTGATCAATCTGAAAACGCTGGATTTGTCCCACAATCCGCTGGAGCTGTTTCAGCTGCGCCAACTGCCCTCGCTCCAGAGCCTCGAGGTGCTCAACATGAGCAACACGCAACGGACGCTGCTCAATTTTCCCACCAGCATCGACAGTCTGGCCAATCTGGTCGAGCTGGATATATCGCACAATGCACTGCCCAAGCTGCCCGACTGCGTCTACAATGTGGCCACGCTGGTGCGGCTCAATCTCAGCGACAACGAGATCACAGAGCTCAGCTCCAGCCTGGACCAGTGGCAGCGGCTCGAGTCACTGAATCTGTCCCGCAACCAGCTGACCGTCCTGCCCGCCGCCCTCTGCAAGCTGTCGCGGCTGCGTCGCCTGTTCGTCAACGACAACAAGCTCAACTTCGAGGGCATCCCGTCGGGCATCGGCAAGCTGAGCGCCCTCGAATACTTCTCGGCGGCCAACAACCTGCTCGAGATGGTGCCCGAGGGTCTGTGCCGCTGCGGTGCTCTCAAGCAGCTCAATCTGAGCAGCAATCGGCTGATCACGCTGCCCGATGCCATTCACCTGCTGGAGGGCCTCGATCAGCTGGACTTGCGCGACAATCCGGAGCTGGTGATGCCACCCAAACCCAGTGAGGCCAGCAACGCGACCAGCCTGGAGTTCTACAACATTGACTTCTCGCTGCAGACGCAGCTGCGTCTGGCCGGTGCCGCAGTGCCGCCCTCCATACCGGCGGCGCCGACGCCGAAGGATGCGACGGCGCGGAAGATACGGCTGCGTCGAGGGCCGCGCGTCGATAGCGGTCAGGATGGGGGCCAGGATGCGGCCAAGGTGCTGAAGGGCATGAAGGATGTGGCCAAGGATAAGGATAAGGACGACAGTGATATGATGGCCAGCGAGTCGCTGAAGCCCAAGCGCTGGGACGAGTCGCTGGAGAAGCCCCAGCTGGACTACTCCAAATTCTTTGAGAAGGAGGACGGCCAGCAGCCGGGCCTGACCATCTGGGAGATCGAGAACTTTCTGCCCAACAAAATCGACGAAGTGGTGCACGGCAAATTCTACGAGGGCGACTGCTACATCGTGCTCAAGACCAAGTACGATGAGCTGCACACGCTCAACTGGGAGATCTACTTCTGGATCGGCAACGAGGCGACGCTGGACAAGCGCGCCTGCGCCGCCATCCATGCGGTCAACTTGCGCAACTATCTGGGCGCGCGGTGTCGCACGATACGCGAGGAGCAGGGCGACGAGTCCGATGAGTTCCTGGCGCTGTTCGACACGGAGGTGATCTACATTGAGGGCGGACGCACTGCGACCGGCTTCTACACCATCGAGGAGATGATCCACATAACGCGGCTGTATCTGGTGTATGCGTATGGGGCCAGCATACACCTGGAGCCGATGGCCGTGGCGGCGCAGTCTCTGGACCCGCGGCACGCCTTCCTCCTGGACGTGGGCACACGCATACATATCTGGCTGGGCAAGCGCTCCAAGAACACGCTCAACTCCAAGGCTCGCCTCATGGCCGAGAAGATCAACAAGACGGAGCGGAAGAACAAGTGTGAGATCGTGGTGGACATGCAGGGCGCGGAGAGTCCAGAGTTCTGGGAGGCGCTCGATGTGCCGCCCGAGGAGGTGGCCAAGCTGCCGCCGCCCAAGGAGCACATCGCCGAGGACTATACGCCAGTGCAGCCGCGCCTCTACCAGGTGCAGCTGGGCATGGGCTACCTGGAGCTGCCGCAGGTGGAGCTGCCCGAACAGAAGCTCAGCCATACGCTGCTCAACAGCAAGCACGTCTACATCCTCGACTGCTACTCGGACCTCTTCGTCTGGTTTGGCAAGAAGTCCACTCGGCTGGTGCGCGCCGCCGCCGTCAAGCTGAGCCGGGAGCTGTTCAATATGCTGGAGCGGCCGGACTGTGCGCTGGTCATGCGCGTCCCGGAGGGCAATGAGATGCAAATCTTCCGCACCAAATTCCCCGGCTGGGACGAGGTGATGGCTGTTGATTTCACGCGCACCGCCAAGTCGGTGGCCAAGACGGGCGCCAACCTGACGCAGTGGGCGCGGCAGCAGGAGACGCGCACGGATCTGGCGGCGCTGTTCATGCCGCGACAGAGCGCCATGCCGCTGGCCGAGGCTGAGCAGCTGGAGGAGGAGTGGAACTACGATCTCGAGATGATGGAGGCCTTCGTGCTCGAGAACAAGAAGTTCGTCCGGCTGCCCGAGGAGGAGCTCGGCCACTTCTATACGGCCGAGTGCTATGTCTTTTTGTGTCGCTACTGCATACCTGTGGATGATGTCGATGCGGGTGAGGGCGGCGCTGAGGCCAACGGGGACGACAGCAAGTCGGCGCCGCCGGAGGACGAGATCGAGTGCGTCGTGTACTTCTGGCAGGGACGCAACGCCGGCAACATGGGCTGGCTGACCTTCACGTTCACCCTGCAGAAGAAGTTCAAGGCGATGTTCGGCGAGGAGCTGGAGGTGATGCGCATCTTCCAGCAGCAGGAGAACCTCAAGTTCATGTCGCATTTCAAGCGCAAGTTCATCATCCACACGGGCAAGCGCAAGGACAAGGCGCTCACGCCCGACGGCAAGCCAGCCGTTGAGTTCTTCCACTTGCGTTCCAATGGCGGTGCTCTGACCACACGACTCATACAAATCCAGCCGGATGCAGTGCACCTCAACTCGGCATTCTGGTTAGTAGATAGATAGCCTAAGACCATAATGAGTATTCCAATTCGAGAGGCTCTCAATGATCTGATTCCTCCCTCCCTCTCTCCCTTCCCTCAGCTATATTCTACATGTGCCATTCGAAACGGAGGACGCGTCCCAGTCGGGCATCGTGTACGTTTGGCTGGGCAGCAAGGCGTGCCCCGAGGAGACAAAGCTGGTGCAGGAAATTGCCGAGCAGATGTTCAACAGTCCCTGGGTGAGCCTGCAGGTGAGTTGTCCATCAATGCTGAATCATTTGCCATTTGCTGATCATTGGTGATCCTGACTCCGCAATGCATTCACAGATACTCAACGAGGGCGACGAGCCGGAGAACTTCTTCTGGGTGGCGCTCGGCGGCCGGAAGCCGTACGACACGAATGCGGATTACATGAACTATACGCGCCTGTTCCGGTGCTCCAACGAGCGAGGCTACTACACGGTGGCCGAGAAGTGTGCGGACTTCTGCCAGGACGATCTGGCCGACGACGATATTATGATACTCGACAATGGGGAGCATGTCTTCCTCTGGATGGGGCCGCGCTGCAGCGAGGTCGAGGTGAAGCTGGCCTATAAATCGGCCCAGGTCTACATACAGCACATGCGCATCAAGCAGCCGGAACGGCCGCGCAAGCTGTTCCTTACCATGAAGAACAAGGAGTCAAGACGCTTCACGAAGTGCTTCCACGGCTGGAGCGCTTTCAAGGTGTACATTTAAGGGACGCGGACGTGCGGTGCCGTGACAGAGTAGCCGCCGGACATGACAATTTTCGACTGCAATATACACACACAAACACACACACCCACACATGCATACACGACAAATAATCGCCAGCAAATGTTTGTACTTTTATAATGTATTTAATTGTTTATTATTATTTTTTATTTAGAGCCGTTGTTTATTTTATTTTAATTTTTTTTTATATATATTTCGCCGCCCAATTAATTAATTAACTTACCACTCGCCCCTGTCTACGCAAAGTATTCTTTTTATCTTGAGATATGTATAAATAGCTTTTGTATGTACTACTTATACATATATATATATATATATATATATATTATACATATTTATATGCTGAGCCGGCGAACTTTTTGTGCTAGTCTTTGAAGGTGTTATCCTCAGAAATCGAAGTGTTAACGAAACGAAATCCAAACAATTGCTAATTTGCACAATGTCTTGCTGCCTGCAAAAATTCGCCAACTAATTGTACAAAATCATATTTATTGCAATTAACCAATTATACAAAAATGAAAGTGAATAAAAATGCCAATTGAAAAATTAACTAAACAATTCTCGCATTCATTTTGAGTCGCGCGCAATGCATTCCACAGCTGGCGGTGCCAGATCAATCAAGTCACGCATTTCATCTGTCGAGATAGCATCCAAAGTGTGTAAATAATTGAATTGTCTGCAGTCGATAGATATGCACTCAGTTCACAATTTTAGCAATTATGTAGCAGAAAATTCCAGAACAACATATTCAAATTCTATGGGAGTCTACTCAAGCATAATATGGTCTATTGTGGAACAAGTTCAGGTTATAAATTGCTGCTGTGAATTATCAGAACTAGAAATTTCTCAGAATTTAGGTCTTGTTACATTTGGTTGGTTTTGCATTTGATTTACCAACCGCCATTGGTATTTGTATTATCGCGCTTATTCCGATACAAATCAGCGCATATCGATACATCGATGGTTGATTTTACATCACTGCACAACGGCGTCGCTGTCATTTTGCAACAGAGTCGGAATCCGCGTTTATTCGTTTTGCCTCTCAATTTTTGTAAAAGAAAATTGTTGCTGCTGCGGTAAGTGAATTATAAATTTGCATCCATAGACAGAATGTATCGGGTTTAAACTAGCTGGGGAATCATTTCATTTGTTGCTGCACTATTTTGTGTGCTTGTTATTTAATTTTTTTCTTTTGCGTGTGGTTTTCGCGCTTCGTTCGTTTTTGTGCCAAAAGTTGAGGCGGCTCGAGCAAAAGTGTGGATGTGCTTGTGTCCGTGCTTGTGCTTGTGGTTGAGGACTCTGTCAAGTATCTAAGAAGCAACAATTGGATACATTCAACACACATACACGCACACAAACGCACACGCACATTCACAGACACATACATTCAGAATGGATCTGTTCGACATGGTGCGCGCTGCACCACCACCACCCGCAGAAGATGGGAAGGATGAAGCTGAGGTGGACTCGGATGCTAGCCCTAAAGTAAAAGCCTTCTCGCCATCGTCGTCGCCAATGCCAATGACGCCATTATTCAATTTAGGTACATATTGCATAGAAACCCAGTTCGATGCAATTGAATACATATAAATTTCTTACAGAAGATTCGGACACTGAGACGATCCCACGTTCGCCGCTGGTAGAAGACGCCACAACGCCACCACCACTTATCATATCTCTCGATATAGGCTAGTTAGAACTAAAGTTCAATTGTACTACAATTATTAAGAGTATTCTTTCCACAACAGACGACGAAAACACTGAAGATGGTGGGATCAGAGCTAAAAATAAAACCAAGATACAGGCATCTAAACGTACATCACTCAAGAAGACCTTTAAAGACTCTGACGAAGACTCCGACAAGACCGATGACTCTGACTCCGACGACTCCGAAGACGAAGTCAAGAAGAAGAACAATGTGAAAGACATCGACAGTGACAATTACAGTGACAGTAGCAGTGGCATCAGTGATGACGAGGAGGATGAAAAGAAGAAGAAGAATCAGAAGCAAAAGTATCAGAAGCAGAAGGAGGAGGACGAGGAAGAAGAAGAGGATCAGGAAGATCTACTGCAAATACAGCCGCGCAAAACAAAGGGTGAACAAAAAATGTTCACAGATGCTACAGCGGCCTCAAAGAAGCAGACAGGCAAAAAAGCCAGCACTACTGGCGTCAGACGTTGCATGGTGCGCATTAAGCGCTTGACACAGTCGCAGATTGACTATCATACCAATGCCAAAGGCAAGGGCAAGGGCAAAGCCAAAGCCAAGGCCAAAGCTAAGCCCAAAGCCACAGAAAAGAAAGGTAAAGGCAAAGACATCAAGCACAAGAAGCCTCGCAAGCGCCTAGCGAGCATTTCGGATTGCTCATCTGTGGAATCATCTCCATCGTCGGCCAAAAAGCCAAAGTCCAGCAAGGCCAAGGTGCACGTCAAGGTGCCCTTTCAGCAGAACGGCTCGAAGCCGCGGTCTTCGCTCAATACATCACGCGTGCACACACCGCCGCCAAGCCTGAAGAAATCACCCAAAAGACTCAAGCCATTGAAAGCTAGCAAAGCGATGATCAAAAAGTATGGATCGCGCTTTTTTAATTGCTATGTAAAGATGAAACGTTTGAAGGATCCGGGCGTGAGCAGCACATCCAAGCGGGCTAAGCGCAAATCAAAATCGAACCTATCCGTCTCATTTAGTGAGGCCGTCGAAATACTGGGCAGCAAGCCGCGCAAGTCTTCGTCCATTGCGGGTGCGCTCAAGCAGACCACAAATCTGAATAGTTCGGTGCCAACGCGCTTGCAGCGAGTCGATGCCACTGGCAATGTGCTTGAGGACATCGAACTGAAGCCGGATACGGTATTGAAATCGTCGAATAGCTCCGGGGGCCAAAGGAAGCGCGGTCGTCAGCCCGCTTGCAATGGCGGGAAGCGTAACGGTAACAAACTGAAGCGTCCAGCTGTGCGTGTGCCAGTCACTGATTTGGCTAGCTTGCGCATCGATGACAGTCAAGATGAGGAGGAGCCGTTAGAAAACGATGCTGGCGAGGAATATATTGGTAAGTTGGGGTCCTTGTTGACGCAGTGCTTGATCAATTGGACTAAACGATTTATCCTGTTGCAGTGCCCAACGATATGCCCGCTTGTAAAACATCGGGTGTGCATCGCTCTTACACCCCGACGCCGCAGAAGAGAGTGGCGGTGGTGACAACCACAGTTAGTGATGTGGAGGATGCGGATGAGTCGCAGCCACAGTGTAAAATGAAGAAGACGGCTGCATCGGAAAATAAGAATAAGAATGAGGAGAAAGCTGAGTCAGAGGACGAGCAAAAGCAAGCGGATGAAACTAAAGATTCGGATGAAACAGATACGGAACGGGAATCGGAACAACCAAGCCCAGAGAAGCCACAGAAGGCGAAGCAGCCCGAGCAGAGCGATTCATCAAATAGCTCGCCTCTGCTGACAGTGCTAACGGATGATGTTACCACAGATGACATATTGGAGATTCAAGCATCTATGGAGGATGTGCGTGAGCTGCACACACCGCCATCTAGACAGGATACGCCGCTGCTGTCGCTGCCGTCGACAGCTACTAACAATCGTGACCAGCGCTCCGAGTCGCCGGAGTCAGAGAGCAGCTTCAAATCGGCCGATGATCTAGAGAGCAGCGTTGCCATCGAACAGACATCATCAGTGCAGTCAGCATCGCCAGGCCAGCGCCAGGCCAATACATCCGACTCGTTTGTCGACGATCAGTCGACATCACCGGCTGGTACACCCAGCACGCGCGGTGAGAATCAGCAGTCGATGTACGCGCCGATTATCGATATGCCGAATCTAGATGATGATCTCGGTCCTATTATAGGTGCGTATTATGCATTTCCCTTTCTAATTACATATTTTTTAAATTTTCAATTGATAATTTCTCCAATTGTTTGGGCTTTAATCTTGTATTGGTCTTTCATGTATTGTAGAGCCCAATTTTCAAATGGCCAACAGCCTCAATTCAAATTCTAGACTTACAATGGAGGATATTTTGACAGTGTTCGAGACTTAGGCAAACCCAACGAGATGAACGCGTCGCGTAGTAGGTTATTGATAGCACACTATTTTCTGTCTCGCTCTAAATGCTTATCTGTACATATTTATGCGTGCACTTCGTTCGCGTGTGCATATGTGTGTGTGTGTGTAGCGTGTATGTTCCATCTTGCATGCGCATAGTTTGCCATCTCTGTTACTGCACGAAATGTTTCAGTTTTTCATTGCCTTCGCTGTTACTGTTGCCGTTGCTGTTATGTTTCTAGTTAACATAACTTTTAATAACATTTCGCAATAGTGAGTGATTTTCACATGCCTGAATAGGAATTCCATTTTATGATCTGCTCAAATCAAACTATTTTACAGTTATTTTACACTTAATAGTAGCAGGAGGCGAGTTATGCTTCTATTTTGTAGATTTATAATTTTCTGTAGTATAGCTACATTAGAGTTTTCTTTAAAAATAGTTTCGTTATCTTTGGCCTAAATATATAAATATACTCTTATACCTTATATATTTATATAAAACAAAGTGTTCTCGATATACCGATTTGAGCATGTCAATAACTTTTGATATATAGTTTTATGTTTCTTGGATCAATAATCAAGGCAATCGTGATATACTATTTTCAATGACTTTAATTTAATCAGTTTGAAGGAAAACAGATTTACAGCTTTCACGCACTAGTTTTCATTGCATTTCATATTGAATCGTTTAAAGTCTCGAACCAATATTCATTATAAATAAATATCATTTAAATTAGAGATTTTCCTTAAAATTTCATTTAAATTCTGCCATTTTATTCTAGACTTATTTCATTTCTAACGATAACTAATTGGTCTCTTTCTTTCTTTAGACAGATACAATTTGTGAAGCCTCCCAACTGTGGATGTTGTGAAATCTAAATGGAGAAGTTGAAGCAATGAAGCAACCTGACAACTCTTTTTTATTTACTTGAGTTATCATTTTTTTGTTAGTCTCACATCTAAAACAAGTGGAGTGCTAATTTGAATAACTATGAATATCCTTCGTTACCCGTTGGGTAATATACTCAAAACTTCAACAACTTTTATATATGTGCATCACATATACTATGGGTTTGCTTAACCACAAAAATAAGTATAATAAAATTGAATTTTTTTTTTTTTTTTTTTTTTTTAACTTAATTTTATTGTTTTTTTAAATTTGTATAGAGCTATTTTAGAAATATATATATATATAGCTCTAGTCATACGAGCTCTTAGTTGACATACTCTATAATAATCTGAAATTAAAATTAACTGGAACACTAAGTTTTACATTTAAGTTTAGGCGACCTAAACTTTGTTATGTTAGCTAGTTAAGTGGATCAAGCGCAGACGTGCTTGAATTGCTCCATTGAAAACTTTTTTAAATATTTTTTTTTTAAGTAGATGTAAAACAAATGGATGTATTATTTTAAATCAGAATAAAGTCTACGTGTAAAAGGCAAATGCAGTTGCTTTCGTTGTAATATTAATATATATCTATATTTGATATATGTATGTCTATAAATGTAAAAGATCTTGATCGTAGAATAGCTATCCAAATATTAGAGAAAATTATGAACATACATGATATATGAGGGTAGTCTAAGAAACAATATATATGTGTAAAAATATAAATATATACATTTATGTGCATGTATATGTATACAAATACATATGACTTAATTCTCAAACATTTTTAGACTAACCCAATGAATTGTTGGAGTCGTAGTTTGCTGTTGATTTCTTAGAATGTTCAGCATTAGCTATTAAGTATTTAAACAACAATTTAATTGGAATTTTAAATAATCAATATTAAAAGAAATATCAATTTCAATTAAACGTTTTTGTATTGCTTGCAACAATTTTTGCGGGTGGCTCAATTTACAGTTAACTAGGCCACTGTTACGCTTAACAGTGCGCCCATAAATATTTTGCCAACATTCTGTTAGACTCAAAATGGCACGGTTACGGCAAGCAGTGCTGTTAAGCTGGCAAAGCTGTTGTGGCCGTTGCTCATACGCCTCGTTGGCCGTCGTCGAGTGCGGTTGGTTTTGATTCCCTTTGGCTGCTCGCTGTTCGTTGTTCGCTTCGGTTGCTGTCGCGACGTTTCAGTTGGCGCGTATTTGAATAGCATTGTTGCCCAGTGCAATTAATTGAAATTAACTTAAAAGCCGAAAATAAAAAGAAAGCAATAGAGAACAGAAATTGGGATTGACTGCAATGGTGAGAGGCAGTTTAAGTGGCGGGCGCTGGGCGCCGGCTAATTGATGGCAGGACCGCAGCCAGACAAATCAGACAGTGCTAATCGTGAATTTGAACAAGACGCAACTGCTAAGCGATGCCAGCCAAGGTACGCTCGCCAGTCGACTACGACTCGCAGGATGAGGCCAACGCTGAGCTGCTGGAGAAGCTTAAGCATTTGGATCGTCGCGCCGAGGCCGTCGAGAGCGGCAATGGCATTTGCAGTCGCAGCTCCGCCTGCTGGCAATCGCTCAAATTGAAATCAGCTCTAAATCATATCGGACTGCTCGTCTCCCTGTCCATCTACTGTGGCGTGGGCGGATTGGTAAGCAACAATTACGACAACACATGAAACGCGCCTCGCAGACAGCCAGTCAGGCAGACAGGCGAGCAAACAAACAAGCAAAACAGCCAAACAAACAAATCATTTGCATATTTTGCAAAAAAAAAAAAAAAAAAGATTTAAAAAAAAAAGTGAAATAATTTTAATGTAACAACAACAAGACATAAATATTTTTGTGCGTCGAGATCATGGCAAGATGGTGAGAGGGAGAGCGAGAGGGAGGTAGAGGAAGAGCGAGCGAGAGAGATTTACTGCATGAATAGCTGCCGAAAATCAGCTCATAATTAAGGCATTAAACTATTTCATATACATTATTTAAGTGCCTAGCGTTACTGCCACGCCCACACGTATACTGTAGCCGCCCACGCTCTGAAAACGCGCCCAATTGCCATGCAAATCGTATTCATCTCCAGACGCCAGTCTGGATGCGCTGCTTCGTTGACCGCCGCCACAGCCACAGCCACAGCCACAGCCACATCCATGTGTGTATGTGTGTGTGTGGACATTTAGACAAGTTTAAATACTTGTTGTCTAAACATTTACATTTTCGCCAATGACGTCGCCATTTATTGGCCCGTAACATAGCCAAATATCCATTCATGACTGCATCGCCCGCAAGTGCAGCCACTCGCATTGGCCTCACTAATTGTTAGCTTCCGCAGCGCACACTCTGGGCCCAGTTGACATATGGCCAATTGTCGTGCTCCTGTCACATTTCCCAATGCCCATCAATACTTAGGCCCGAGCCACAGTCCATAATAATACCGTTAGCCCCTGAGAGTGGGCTGGCCTGCTTGATTTCTTGTTTATGTTTTGGCTCTTGGCAATTTGTCGTTTCCTCTCCTGCTCGATAATCCATTGCAGATATATGGGCATATAGATACGCATCTATCAGATATATGTATATATGTATACTGTTATGTGTGTGTAGTTAGAGATATGTATCCAAGGCATAAATCTTACGTATATTCATTCAATTCCAATTTCAATTTTTCATTCAATAAATTGAATAAGTAGCCGAACTTTTACTATAAATTCTAAATGGGATTGTTTATATAAAATATATAATCTATATAGTTTTATAACATATAATATTTTCATTGGGATATAGATAACTACAGATTTATACCGACTTTGAATTATAGATTTTTAGAGTTCATTGAACGTCTGAATTCGAATCCAATTTTGAAACTACTTGAACTCGGTAGCTTCATAATTTTGAAAATGCATATGAAATATATTGAATTTATTTATATTTAATTTTATTTATTTTTTATTTATTTATATTGTTTTTATGTAAGAATCAAGCAGAAGGAGGCCTGGCAACCGCATAAATTATATATATTCTCAATCAGTGCGACGAGATGAGCCTATTAAGCCCTATCCGTGTGTGTCCGTCTATCAGTCAGTCCGTCCGTCCGTTTGTATGAATTATTGTAATTCCCAACTGATTTATTCAAATTGAAGTTTCAAATTCAATTTGAGGTTTATTCAGCACTGAATTCCTAAGAAATTCTGTCTCCACCTTCAGCTTGATTTAATAAATTTAAAAAGAAATAGTTATTAATTGGGTTTTGGTACCTCTAGTTGGTTAGGATTTACGTCAGATTTGATTGTTTATTTGACCTTTGCTCTTTTTTCGTTTCTTTCTTTTGGCTAACAAGAAATCATTGAGTGCTGAGCACTCGAACATGATTCATTTATCATTTGACTTTTCATTTGTTTGCAAATAGAGAGTACTTAACGCCTGATTCATGGCCAGATAATTAAACTGAAACTTTGGCCAGGTTTCAATTTGGCCAAGTGGCGAGCATAGACAACACCTCAGGGCCTCTTCTACATACATGTTGTCCGGTGAGCAATTGCCGTGAATTAATCAAAATACGCACACACAGACAGAGACAGAGAGGGGGAGAGGGGTAGAGAGGGAGACCGGGAGGGAGTGGGAGAGTGGAAGAGGCCGTCGCACCACCCACAGCATATGCTAGCCAATTACGCGCACTTTGATGCCAAATTGATCGTCAAATTGTTGAAAATTTCAATTGAAATTTGAATTTCAATATGAATTACGGTATTGTGAGCATTTGTTTTATGTTTAGCTGGCCTTTTTTCTCGCTCGAGCTATCCTCAATCGAGTCCATATAATGAACTGGCTGAGACAAGCCAAGTACCAAAAATAAAATGTGGCCTCATCATCAACAGCCAAAGGCGGCGGCAGCAACTGTTGCTGTTGTTGCTGTTGCTGTTGCTGTTATTGTTGCTGTTGTTGCTGCTGCTGTTGTTCGGGTGCGTATACGTAGTATTTGGTAAACCATCGAGGCAAAAGCCATAAACGCTCCATTCACTGGGCTCCAGCTGTGCTGCTCGTTTGCTAACACTTGCAGCGTCCTGCTCCTTCACTTCTTCTGCCTCACTCCTTCCCCTTCTTGTCCTTTGATGCATTCGCTTAAGGTTAATCCTGCAGCTGTGGCACTTTGTACGTTTGGTATAAATTTTTGCATTCACTCGTCGAATGCACCAAATGAAACGGAACTGAGTCTCACATAGAGATGCACACACACACACACACACATCATCATCACATCATGATATGACTGTAGTTGACATTGGTTTCGAATTTTCAACATTTGTGAAGTTGTGGAATTTTCAAAGAATCCAAGCTGGACAAACTTTTTCTCCTGGTATATGAAATGAAATATCCTTTTACATACACAGAGGTGGAGAATAGTAAAAGGTTTTTATTTATACTATGACATACATATTATTAGATGTATACATATCCTATACACATGCCTATATATAGCTATATAAAGCTGTTTCTACTTATTGCCTTTTCGATTATGGCAAACTCAGACAGATTGAATAACTGATTGATAGATGGACTTGCATTAGATAAAGGATTGATTAACTACTTATTGATGGATTGATTGATTGAGTCATTGATAGTTGAGTGGGATGCTGTATTGATTGATAGATAGTATCTTTGATGTTTGGATTTGATTGACAGACTAGCTTATCCATTGACTGACTGAGTGATTAATCTAGCGATCAATCATTGACAGATGACTGATTGATAGAGTTTTGAAGGTTTTCAGAATGGCTGATTAATTGAGAGAATGAAATACATAGTGACTGATTTGTTTTACTCATTGATAAATTGACTGGCAATTGATTGACTGATTGAATACCTTGAGGTTATGATCGAATGATTGACTGACACCTGCTAAACAAACTGGAGGCTAAGTGCAACACTTAATTTGTGACTAATTGAAGAACGAGATCTACTAATCTACCAGCTGATTGACTGAATAGTTATCATATTGTTCCCAGCTAACAACAGACTTCCAAATGATATGATTGTTTGATTGAGTAACTAGCTCACTGTGCCAAATTGCGTCTGATGTCCTCACAAACTGACTGATTAATTGACTGACGGATTTATAGATTGACTGATTGACTGACTGATTAGCAGATCCACCACATTGTTTTTAGCCTGCAATAGACTTACTGATTAAATGATTGACTGACTGAGCAACATATCGTCTGACTCCCTTAAAAACTGGTTGATTGACTGACTGATTGATGACTGTTTGATGGGTTGACTGAGTAAGTTATTTGGTGACGGATTGATCGGTTGATTAAAGAACTGACTTACTGCCCAATTGGTTCACTGATTGACTGCTTAAATGATTGGCTGAGTGAGCTACTTGGTTGCTGATTGATTAATGGATTGATTGACTGATCGTAGAACTATCTGAGCAACTAGTGTATTGGTTGAACGTCTGAAATGACACGCTTTACATCATCTGCGGTAATATTCTTCTATGTCACTTATGTATTGTAGTCATCTGTAAAGCTGATACTCCCTTTTCAAGGAAGAGCATTGAAGTAGGTCAAATGTCGTGCTTGAATGTGTTGCTGAAACACAAAAGTGTTTCGTTTAATGGCTTCGCTTCAAATCCAGCCATAATCGCTTAACAGCTCAGTTAAGTTCCTTACAGATTCGAATTGATTCGAGTGCATTACTGTGGCAATCGTTGCACGGAACACGCTGACTGAGCTCTCGATTGCCTTTTGAGTGCTGGGACAGTCGAATTTATCTGAATGTTTAATGCTCGCACTTTTTAGTGGCTGTCAACGGTGAGCCGCAAGTTGATTTATTAATTAATCTCAACCCAAAAGGATTGCCTACGAAGTGTGTTCGCCAATTCAAGTGGAAGTCCCCGATCCCGGACACACCTGGCCATATGGCCAGTGGAGTGGGTGCTCGAAGTCTGTCACTATGCTTGGGGGATCTGCCTATAAATCATTTTAATTAGCATATATATACATATATAGACTGAGGCGTTGCTATTGTAAATCGCGCAGTTTATCGATTCACATCACGTAAAAAAGAAGGCAAAAAAAAGGAAATTTCGCTTTATCAAAAATGCTCGAGTCACCTTAGCAGCCGCTGCCAAAAGCGAGGCCAAATAAATTAAGTTGTTGGCCACAAAAAAAAAAAAAAAAAAGAAGGCAATTAGACAGACGTGTGTGTGTGTGTGTGCGGGCGCGCGTTTGTTATCTGATTAACTGGGCCATCCAGGCGCAGACATACATGATTTTATATTAAGCCAATTTCTTGGCCATAAATGAGAGCAGGAACTAGGCACGGCCATGCTTCGGATGTTTACGTTTTGATTTTGACCAAAAGTCAACTCGCTAAAAGACACACGCACACACAGACTTGAACACACTCACACCCACTCACACACACACACACACACACAGGAAATCACGCCAGACGCGCATTAAGCGTGTGACAAGCGGACATTTGATTTTGCCCTGTCGCTTTGTTTGAGCCTTAATTTTGCCTTCCTGGCCAATTTCTGCTGCCTGCTTTCTGGCGAGGCGCGTCTCGAAATTGAAATACATCCGCAAGCTGACTTTAAATGGCCAAATTATGTTGAATAAGTCGCCGGCTCAACGACGAATGAAGCCAC